AACTTAGTGTTCTGGTTCAGCCAACTTTTCTGTAGGATTTTTGGTAGACAACTGAAAATTATTGTGTTGTCCTTTTCTCACCTTCCTCTCGCTTCCCTAAAAAAAAGTAGGTTCAGGGAGATTATATGTTTATCTACAGGTATATATGTTTATAATTTCTCTCTCTGCTGCTTAAAATGTTTTGAAATTTACTTATTAGCAACATTTTTTTTTTCAAATCAAATTCTGAATAGCTCAAACTGAATTGACTGGTATCCCAATCTCAAATCATATTCACAGTGACTCTCTGAATTTCCATTATGAATTAAATTAGGATGGTTGACATAGGTCTAGTTGGGAGTTCTGTACATGAACGTCCAGCAGCAAATCTTACTTCAGGTTATTGTTTTGAGAAGCAGTCTAGTAATTACATGTGTACATACACATATATCCACAATTCTTGTATATCATTTTTTGAAGAAAGCAAAAGTCAGAACACAGAAAATTACTAAACAAGACAAAAGAATCAAAAATAAGATATGAAAAAGAAACATAGCCAGAAGTAGTTAGCATCAATGCTATTCACTGTTTATCATCCCTACAAACCAGAGGTAGTATTCAGCAGGTTTTGACCAGTTTTGGAGAACCGGTAGCGGAAATTTTGAGTAGTTCAAAGAACCAGCAAATACCACCTCTGACTGGAGATTTTACAGTATCCTTCTCCTGCACGCCCACCAAGCCACGCCCATAGAACTGGTAGTAAACAAATTTGAATCCCACCACTGCTACAAACCATCCATGCAAACCATTCTTGCTTTTATCCCATCCTTGTGCTACATTTTTGTTTTCCTTTGTTATTAAATATGATCACTAATTTATCTAATATGGATTCCTTAGCTAATTTACATATTGTTTAGGAAAACCTATTCTGAATCCAAACTGCTGCCAAGTAAAATCTTAGAAGATCCCTCATGGACCTACACTGGAGGCAGAATATGAACTGCAGAGTTTACTGCCATCTGCACAGCAAGCCTTCAGCTTTAACTTGATGTCCTCTCCCACAAGTCTCTTTAATTCTTCCTATTAAAATCAATAGGTATGTATCTTGTCTGTAATGTGATGCAAAGCAATATAAATTATTTTATGGTGCTGATTTAATTTTTTTAAAAATTATTTATTTATTCAGAAGGTTATGTACCATCGGTCTTGAGAAAATGCCTCTAAATAAATAAATGCTGTCGGCAAGTAGCAGTAGCAATAGCACTTAGACTTATGTACTGCTTCATAGTTGAATAGATAGAATAGAACAGAATAGATTAACAGAGTTTTACAGCATTGTCTAAGTAGTTTACAGAGTCCACATATTGCCTCCAACAATCTGAGTCCTCACTTTATTGATCTCAGAAGAATGGAAGAATGAATCAACCTTGAGCCAGTCCAGATCGAACTGCTCGTAGTAGGCAAAGTTAGCTTGCAATATTGCATTCTAACAACTGCATCACCACAGCTCTTCAGTAGTGTATGCACTTTGCAAGAGTTGGACAAGCAGGACTGCATTTCTAAGTTCAGTTACCTAGAAACAAATTCTTTTTAACTGAACAAGAATGGCTTTGGGCAAACATGTATAGAACTGGAGTAAAATGTTACTTTTGGAAAAAAAATATTTAACATTAGAAGGAAGGGCTCACTGGAGAAGAGCCTAATGCTGGGAAAGATTGAGGGCAATAGAAGAAGGGGACAACAGAGAAGGAGATGGCTAGATGGAGTTACTGAAGCAGTAGGCATGAACTTAAATGGACATCAGAAGATGGTAGAGGACAGGAAAGCCTGGAGAAAAGTTGTCCATGGGGTTGCGATGGGTCGGACATGACTTTGCAACTAACAACAACAACATTGGCCTTAAAATTATTCTGACTATTTTCATTCCCCTACTCCTATTTTCATTCCCCTACTCCTAAAGGATTGATATGGATTCTTTAAAGTGTTTCACTGAATAATCAGCATTTATTTGCAAAAGCAGCTACAAGTAATCCTCAATTTACAACCACAATTGGGACCAGGACTTTGGTTTTAAATTATTGTGGCTATAGGTCAAGGCACCATGTGCTCAGACTCCATTTTATAACTTTTTCCTTATGAAAATCATTAAGTGAATCACCACAGTCATTGAGCCAACATGCAGTCATTATGCAAACTACATGATCGTAAGTGTGAATCTATTTTATCCAATAGGCATCTTTTTGCTGGAAAATGGCAAAACATGATAAGGTGACCATGTAATGCTCCACCTGGTTGTAAATACAAGCCAGTTACCAAGCACCCAAAATGTGATCACATGACTGTAAGAATAATGCTGCAGTCTTAACTTCACGGACTGGCCATAAGTAACCTTTTTCGACTCTATCATAAATGTGAACAGTGATCAAGTGACCAGTAGTAAGTCAAGGACTAACTCTATTTCAAAAGTTTAACATTCCAAAAGATCAATATAACCTCTAAAAATGGTCAGGTTTCAGCTGATTTCACCCCAAATACAATACATCCAGAGGATAAGCAAAAGGGCGGCATATGTTCCTAAATACATTATTTCTGTATGACCTTGTTTATGATGACCCATGGCATGGCACAAAGGCAACACAGTCACTTAAGTAAGAAAAGTCCCTTTAATACGTCCAACTTTGCCCACAAAGTCCAGTTATCTTCGGCTGGAGAAAATACTCTCCCAAGAACAGTAAGTGGAAGAAATTCAGTTTGAAAACAAAGTACATATAAAATACAAATAAAAATCCACACATGCTGCAACAATTAACTGGACAGGGCAGGATAAGGAATTGCAAACTTCAAAGACCAACAAAACACACACAGTTGGGAAGACTCCAGGAACCCAGATAAGCCTTGACAATAAAAGATAACTCATGATTTGCTTTCAACGAGTTGCTGTACACAACCTCCCTTTTTAAACACTGTGTTCCCAGCTGCAGCTAATGAAGGGAATCAGGGCCCTTTCCTCCCACATAAGCCATGCAATTCATGTTGTTCCCTTCTCCATTCTTCCCTGCGTTCCCTACGATGAAGAGGGGGTGGGCCTGGATCTTCCTCTGAATTCATTCTGCCTTGCTCTACCTCTCCCCTGCTCTGCCCAGCTAATCTAAGAAGTGATGATGGCAACAGAACTGGGTTCTGTTGTAAAAGCTATTATCACCATGAAATTATGCTGAGAAACAAAAGGCATTTATATTATGCATCTATCTTTTTAAAAACTCAATGTTTTATAGCTGTCCAATTACTTACAGATAATTAATGCTGCTAAAGATCATTGCAAATGAATGTCTTATTGAGAAGCTGCATTTGTAGATACCATTTTCAATTCACAATGTATGATTAATAGCTATTTTGTTATTTTCTTTTATTAGGAAGTTACGATTAGTGATGGTTTCTGGATGTATGGACATTGTGAAAACATAAATTTATGCATATCATATGATGAATTGCACAAAGGTCAGGACATTTCATATTTATAAATTGTTTTATGTGGAGCAAACCTTACAGTATATGGAGAAAAATAGACTTTCATCATAGTGGATTAGATTATAGAGTAGACATAAACCAAATATTTTATGATTTTAGCCTAACATTACTGTTACACCATATTTGCAACAATTAAATAGGTTATCATTTGTTAAGGCTTTGACCATATAATTCTACTGACTGCAAGGATAATGAAGAAATCTCTCTTTTTTAAAAAGATTTTTTTTTAACAAATTTTATTGATTTTTTTAAAGACAAACAAAACATAGGACATAAAAGCATAAAACCTCCTTTCTAAAAATTACTTATAAGTTTTAACAAGGCAAATAAAACATTATTTTTACAGCATAGTTCCACATTATCACATTTCCATTTAAGCACATATATATCTTTTCCAAATTTCTCATTATTTCTCCCTTCACTTTTATTTAATTATATTTCTTTCTATCAAGGTTTTATTAATTCTCAATCGAACATAAACACACAAAATACAAAACATAAAACAAGACATAAAAACATAAAACCTCCTTAATTATCATTTGTACATATCTTTTCCAAATTTCTCATTGTTTCTCCCTTTAGTTTTATTCCTCCAAGGTTTTATTAATTCTCAATCAAACATAGCTAACCAAAACACAAAACATAAAACATAAAACTTCTTTTTGGAAAGTGGCCGGAAGAAGGCGGAGCCTCCTCACCGACGGACGGTAGATCGCAACCCTCTGTGGCTATCATTCGTGCTCTTTCGTCGGAGAGCCCCAATCATCTTGATTAGGGCTGAAACTGCCTTGGAGGGGCAGCGGAGTAAGAGGAAGCAGCAAGCCTGATTGTGGGGAGCCGCATCTCCCCCCCCGGGCTTGGCTTTTTTTCCTCCCGAAGACGACTGCCGCGATGGTCTAAATGGACATCCCGAAGAGGATGACTCAGCTTGATTAAGATTTGTGCAGGAGGGAAGAAAGAGGTGGATAACATCTGAACCGGGACAACTGGGCAACATAACCAAATAAAAGTACCCCGGGATCAAGGTAACATAGAATTTTTAAGAAAAGAAAAGTGAGCAGCGAAATTACAAAGGGACAGAGAAAAAAAGAAAAATATTTTTGACAGCTAAATGGGGCTTCGAACCGGGAAAGGAAGAAGCTGGAATTAAAGATTTAATGAAATTGGACTAAAATAATTTGGGAATAAACAAATATAAAATTAAAGCTGGACTTAAGATTCTTAAAGAATAATAATAACAACGTTTACATATTGGAGACTGGACTGTGTTGGAATATTGAGGTTCGAAAAATTTTAAATAAAAATACAGGGGGAAAAAGTGAATACTTTGTACAATGGAGAGTGTCACCTTTTGATAAAAATTTAGTTCAAATAAAAGGGAAAGCATCTTGTCTTTGAATGAACTGGTGTGGATATAACATTGCAGAAATATTGAAACAAAGTAAGAATTCTAGAAAGTGAAAGCAGAACCAGAATAAAAGAGAAAGCAAGGAAGGAAAGATTGTGTGTGGGACTGATTGATGTTTTTGGTATAAACCCTGGACTGGAATAGCTGAGAACTTTAAAAAACTGAAAGAAGAAAGTAGAGTAAAAGTGGTTTCTTTTTGTGGACTTTAATGATCATAAAATATAAGAATGATGATATCTCTTCGGGAATTTAAAATGGAACTCAAAAATATGAGAGAACTACTACAGGAAAGAGGCAAATCACTTTGCTCTGTGTTAGAAAAAATGGAAATGGCGATTATAGAACAAGAAGAGAGATTCTCAGAGAGGGAGGAGTCGATTCAAGAAGAAGACATTTTAAATAGATAATTAACACAAAGAACGCTACAAAGAAGTGGGGAAAGAACGAAGGTTAAAAAGTTGAGTTTTAAGAAAGCAATTAAAAGAGGGAATACTTGTGAAGTCAGAAAAGGCAGGAAGATTCAGCAGAAAAGGGGAAAGGAAGGTATTAAGAAAGAGATAAATTGGAATGACAAAAGACATGGCGAAAAGAGGGGGAGGAGAAGCAGTAAGAAACAGGCATTTGAAAGAAAGAAACACAGAACTAGTAAAATGTTGAAAAGAAATGGCTTTTTCAGAAATAATGGTTGATGAATTAAAAGGGATTCTGCAGGGGACATGGGGTAATAAGAATATCTTTGCAATTAAAAATACTTAGAAAATAGGGTAATATAGAAACTGATAACTCTTATGGGGGGAATATGCTGTGGAATCCAACTGAAAAGATGTAATGACTAATGGTCTATTGGGAATTAAGATGAGGGAATAAAGGTATATTCTAATCATTAAGGTGTTACACTCAAAACAGTAAAAGAGGGGAAATTTAAACTTGTTCTTTTTTCTTTTTGTGTGGGTGTGTTAAGATCTGCATTAATTTAGAATTCATAAAAAAATGTGTACTGGAAAGGGAATATGGCAGACTAAAGAACCAGCTAAACTAATAAGTTTAATATAGATTAATAAAAGCAAGGAGAGACATTGGTAACTTCATTATTATTACTATTAGGCAAATATATATTGTTTATTTTTATTTTTAAAATAAATATTAAGGATTATATCTGAAATAATTGAAATGAAATAAAAAGATGTTTAGATTGAGATTAATGAAAGAACTTAGAATTAAACTTTATTACTATTTATTAGGCAAGTACATATTGTTTATCCTTATGTTTAAAAATAAATACTAAAGGATTATTTTTGAAATAATTGAAATGAAACAAAATTGATTGAGATTAATGAAAGAGGCTAGAATTAATGTGTTTGTTTCTCTCCTTACTGAAAATCTGGAATGGAAAAGGTAATTAATAGAATTAAGTATGCATATATTAATGTATAATTTCTGTTATATTTGTATGTAAAGATGAGGACCCAGAAATATGTTGTCCACTAAAAAGAGATTTTTGTTTTTAATGTGAAAAACTGAATAAAGTTTGTTTAAAAAAAAAACAAAACTTCTTTTTGGAAAGTGGCTTAGCCCCGGGTTACATCTTTTTTTACAGACCTAAATCAAATTCATGCTCACCTTATATACCATTCTTATCTTATTTACCATTTTATATTTTCTATATAACTTCTCCCTTCTTTTCACTCTCTTAATTATATTTTGTTTATTTCATCTTATTTTAAAATCATTATACTTGTATCTTTTGTCCGTTCTTTTCCAATTATCTATTTATCTCTTCTCTTTAACAGAAAATTTCCCCTGTAATCACTTTTAAAGTGTGACGCCTTTCTATCTTTCCCCTAAATTGACACTTAAAATAATACATAATTTCCATTCTGATTCTGCTTAGTACATTCTACATGTTGCATTTTAAAATAAAGGAATAATAAATTTATAATATAGTTAAATATATAATTTCCATTCTAATTCTAATTCTACTTAATACATTATTTTAAAATAAGAAAATGAAATAGTAAATTTATAATAACATTAAGACAATAACAAATTAAACTATAACTAAACATTAATCATTTTACACATTCTCTTTAATATTTTATTGAATATTGAGATCTATCATTATTAAACATTTTAATATTTTAATATTTTATTAAATCTTATAATATTCCAATACACTATTTCAAATGCAAATACTACAATACTATCTTATGTACTCTTGCAGAATCTTTCTTTAATTATGCTTTACCCTCTATCTCTGAAAAAGATCTGCTTTTTAGCATCTTGTTTCAAGCCTTTGTGACTTTTTCCCCCCTTTTCCCTCCCTTTCTTCTCCTGTCTGGCCTTTTTGCACCCCCCTCCTAACCTCCATCTTTTTAACTTCCCCTCTCTGTTGTATTTCTCTTTTCTGTTGCTTTCTAACATTGTACTTTTTTTTCACCTTATTTTTCTCTTTCATGGTTGTTTTGTTAAATCTTAAATTCTCAATTTTCCTCCCCCTCCTCCTATTTTCTTTCTTAGTTGAACTTTTTTGTCCATTAAAGATGGCTTCTTCCTCTTCTTCTTCTTCTCCTTCTTCCCCATGTAGTTGCTGATAAGTAGAAATCGCCATTTCTAAAAAGTGGAAGACAGCTCCCAAAGAATCTTTGCCTTCTTGTTCTCCCTCCTTTAATTTTTCATATTCCATTTTTAATTCATCCACAGATAGTTCCATTGTAAAACCTTTTCTCCTTCTTCTTCTTTTTTAAAATAACAACCCAAATGTTTTTAATCTTAAAGTAATTTCTAAGCATTCCAAAGTTATCAAGCAATCCAAACAGACACAAAATATTTCCTCTTCTTCTCTTTGCACTTTCTCCTCCTGGGGCAAAATCCCAAAATATATTTTAAAGCCTTATTACAGTTAATTTCTGGTCCTGTAATCTTCAAGGCATCTCCTCCAACAAATTCTTAAAGATTTTTTAGTCCTCTCTCTTCCCACTTATAACAAAGAGCTTATTTTTACCTTCTATAAAGAAGCAGGTTTTTCAATGTCCGTTGCTATCTCCCTAAGGAAGGGGAGTGAACTTTCCCTTCAGCACTTTCCTCCGCAGCTTTAATAGCCTCTTTTGGAAACAAATGTATCAATCAAAGAGTCAGATTTCCAGGGTGTTTAAATGTATCTTAATGTCCGGGTTCAGCCAAAAAACTTTCTCTTTCTAAGTCTTCCTCCTGCACAAATCTTGTCTGGTTGAAGATCTCTTTGTGGCTGCCATTACTGACAGCCACTCCACCGCCTCAGGAAAAAGGAGTTTAGATGGCTGGGGAAAGGGGTTGCGATGTCCCCAGACCCCTGCCCAGGTCTCCTCTATCTTCCGCTACCTCTCTGGGGTATTGACAACCCCCAAATCCAATTGGATCGGGGGTACTTCAGCAGCGAGTGCAGCAGGGACCCACAGAGATGCGGATTCCTGCCACCGCCGAAGCCTTGCAACCTTTTAAAAAATATTTTTGTTTGATGGATCCACGCAGGAAAGGAGAGGCCATATTTGGTCATATATAACAATTTTTACTCTCTCCAGCATACATGTTGAACAACATAGAAGCTACCTATTCTATTAGGGTTTGATTTTACAATCATTCAGTGTGTTTTCCACAGTATAGCCATTAGGGTTATTTATTTATTTATTTTATTTATTTTATTTATTTGTCAATTGTTTACGAGATAAGTAAAAGTGTATACATAATTATGAATACATGAAATGAGTACATATAAGAAAAATAAAAAAAAATAAAAGAAACAATAGGACAGGGACGGTAGGCACGTTGGTGTGCTTATGCACGCCCCCTACAGACCTCTTAGGAAAGGGGTGAGGTCAATAGTAGACAGTCTAAGATTAAAGTTTTTGGGGTTTGGGGAAGAAACTACAGAGTCGGGTAGAGTATTCCAGACATTGACCACTCTGTTGCTAAAGTCGTATTTCCTGCAGTCAAGCTTGGTGCGGTTAACCTTGAGTTTGTATCTGTTGTGTGCTCTTGTGTTGTTATGGTTGAAGTTGAAGTATTCATTGACAGGTAGGACATTGCAATGTATGATTTTATATACCATGCTTAAATCAGACCGAAGACGGCGTAATTCAAGGTTTTCTAGTTCTAGAATTTCAAGTCTGGTGGCATAAGGTATTCTACAACGAGTAGAGGAGTGGAGAACTCTTCTTGTGAAATATTTCTGGACTTTCTCAATTGTGCTAATATCAGATACGTAATGTGGGTTCCAGATTGATGAGCTGTATTCGAGTATTGGTCTAGCAAATGTTTTGTAAGCTCTAGTTAGTAGTGTGATATTACCAGAGAAAAAGCTACGTAAGATTAGGTTAACAACTCTTAATGCCTTTTTGGCTATGTAGTTGCAGTGGGCTCTAGCACTTAGATCATTAGAGGTGAGTATTCCAAGGTCCTTTACAGAGCTTGGATCATCAACAAGATCTTGACTATTCAGCTTGTATTTTATTTTCGGATTTTTTTTGCCAATATGTAAGACAGAGCATTTATTTGTTGAGATTTGAAGTTGCCATTTGTTTGACCATTCTGATACACAGTCAAGATCTTCTTGAAGGGTAGCAGTATTGTCTGTGGTATTGAACAGCTTTACATCATCAGCGAAAAGAACGCAGTTGCTCTTAATATGATCACAGAGGTCATTTATGTAGAGTATGAAGAGAGTTGGTCCTAGAACACTGCCTTGGGGGACACCACTATTGACAGGTACAGAATTTGATAGGACACTCCCAATTTTGACCATTTGTTGTCTGTTTGACAGGAATGCTTCTATCCAGTTATGCAGTTGTCCAGAGATACCGTAGGATTTTATTTTTAGTAGTAGTTTGTCATGTACCACTGAATCAAAGGCTTTACAGAAGTCTATGTAGATTGCATCTATTGTTTTGCCCTGATCAAGTTGTGTAGTCCATATGTTTTTGTAGTGTAAGAGTTGCAGATTTTTTTTCTGAAACCAAATTGTTTATTGGAGAGTAGGTTGTTTGTCTCTAAGTGGAGGATGATGGATTGGTTAATAATTGATTCCATGACTTTACAGGTGACGCAGCATAAGGAGATTGGTCTGTAATTTTCAACTAGGCAAGGGTCTCCCTTTTTGAAGATGGGGATGACTGTGGCTTGTGACCATAGGTTAGGCAAGGAACTGGTCCTGAAAGATTTTTCAAAGATTATGCTTAGAGGTTTGGCTATGGCAGTGGATAACATTTTTAAGAAATAGGCACATATTCCATCCGGTCCAATAGATAGGGATGGTTTTAGATTGCATATGTTATGCGATTCAGATATTTTGTCTTTCCCCAAGACAAAAATCAGAGGGACAGAAAATGCCTCCTGATAATCTTCCCTAAATTTTTCCCCCAGTGCTGGAAGATTAACACCACAGGAATCAGCTCTTAGGCTGTTTTGAAGGGCCATGAGCAAATAGGAAGAGGTTGTCTCTTAAAAGCAACCTAGCTCAATAGTATCTGACATATCTCACCAAGATAGAAATTGTTATGCATGAAAGGTGAATTTCAGAGTTTATTTCTCCTGATTGGTTACGTGCCATCAAGTTGGTGTTGACTTTTAGCGACCACATAGATGGTTTCTCCCCATCTCCTCTCATTTGGTCCTTCAGATCGTCCATCCACCACCACTATAATTGAACCCATGTCCTTCTTGCCGGTCACTGTCTTTTTCTTCATCTCTTCCACCTTTCTTAGTATTACAAATTTTTCAAAAAGCTCAGTTTTTATTTCTAGAATTTGAGAAATATAACAATAAATATCATGTTTTAAAGAACAACACTATGAAAGAAGAGTTTGTAATCTAGAGGATTTGAAATCAATGGATGCAATGAAAAAGAATTATATTTTTCTGCTCTGGAATATAAGGGTGGTGCAGTAGCTCAGTGGTTAAGATGCTGAGCTTATAAACTGGAAAGCCAACAGTCCAGATTTGAGACTTGAACACCATCAACGGGGTGAGCTCCCCCATTCCACTTCACCCTAGCTCCTGTCAAATTAGCAGTTTGAAAGCATGTAAATGTTAGTAGATAAATAGGTACCACTTTAGTGGGAATATAGCATCACTTCATGACATCATGCTGGCCACATGACCATGCAAACATCTTCACACAGCGTTGGCTCAATGGCCATAAAACAGAGATAAGTACCACCCCTTATAGTGCTGACTAGCAAAGTATAATCCTCAGGGATACTTTTACCTTATAATAATAATAATAATAATAATAATAATAATAATAATAATAATAAT